GAGACAGCCACCCAGTGACAGAAATAACCAAAAGACATGTGCTCAGTTTGACGGTAAACCAGATATATGCGAGATTCCTTCACGGGAGAAAGGAAGAAAGACCATTCACAATTTGTTTTACATTTGTTTTTCTCTCTTTTAATTGAATAAAAAAAAAAAAAACCTTTCGAATGTTGAGTTCATAAGATAAAAATATTCCCTCTAAAACATATACGTGTGCATTGTGCTTCAATGAAAAAATATGGGGTAAACGTCAATGAGACAGCCACCCAGTGACAGAAATAACCAAAAGACATGTGCTCAGTTTGACGGTAAACCAGATATATGCGAGATTCCTTCACGGGAGAAAGGAAGAAAGACCATTCACAATTTGTTTTACATTTGTTTTTCTCTCTTTTAATTGAATAAAAAAAAAAAAAACTTTCGAATGTTGAGTTCATAAGATAAAAATATTCCCTGTAAACCCCCCCCCCCCCCTTTTCTTTTTTGGTGCTCTCCAATTTCAATCCTCAAATAAGGCTTTCCAATCTAATTAAAATTAAAACCTTGCTTTCTAACCAATCTATTCATGTACCGGACCGGGAACTTTCTTTATTTGATAAGAAAATCTACAGTGCCGTTATATAAATGCATGTTGTCTGCTTGGAGTCCCCGCCCGAAAAGGAAGAAATAGCCTAACTCCAAGATACTACATTCCTGCATCACGTGATTTTTGCCACGTGTAGCTTACATTAGAATTAATAACGAATATGGAAAGTTAAACTACAATTCAAAACATAAAGTCCGAAGGCACATAGAAGAAAACGAAGGTGTTCTTTTGGCAAAGGGTGCCGGGGTAATCTACTCTGTGTTCATAATATACATGAAATATTTGCCACTGCCCCTTGTCTGTTCTATAAATTCTAACCCTGAGTTTTCTATCTGTTACGTTTTACTCTGATTACTATTGTTTAAAGCAATTTAGTATCTGCTGGGATATAATATGCGTGACTTGCATTTTTATGTTACACCTAACCATCTTGAAAACTAATTATACCATTAACGGAATTTTCCCGTTAAAAGGTGTGAAAATTACATGAAGTTCAAAAATTAATAGATTTTTTTAACTTGCTTTTTTACTATTTTTATAAAGTTTTGATTTGTTTGTCGATTGATTGTTTTACCCCACGTCTCCTTTTAAACATATTCTAAAGTAACTGGTTTGCACATTTTTCTCTAAAACAAAGGACCATTAGATTCCAAATCCACCAAGACAATGAAATCAACATGAAAAAAACCCAAAATCAAACTTTAAAAGAGAGGCGAAACAAATTATTTACAACAAAAATTATTCAGCAAGACAAAACACACTCATTGGTTCCATCTGTTTCCAACAATGTTTTTGTCAAATAATATTGTCTTTTTATGTAAATCGTACTACTACGAGTGTCTTGTAAAAGAATTAGGAAAAAATTAGCACTCAGGTAATCCCACTTACAAAAACATCATTTGACAAGGATGAGATTTTGGCGAATTATAAGTCGATCCTTCATGGCTTCAATGAACATTACATTGAACAGCAAATATGAGGACTTACCTTTTTTGTATTGGATACCTCAGCTTCACAAAATTCCGTACAAACAACTGTATATTTCCGACTCAACTGCATGTTCTACAAAGGAATTGTCCATTAGATTGATAAAAATTCTGTCCGCAGTAAAAGAAGGTCTTCAGAAATACTGTGAAACTGTTTACTCGCGTAGTGGAACTAACCATATGTGGATTCTAAAAAAACTCTAAGGAACTACTGGATAATTTTAAATCTCCGTCATTAATTCTATCAAAACTTTTGATTTTTTCAACCCTGTATACCACCATTCGCCATGTGAAATTGAAAAATCGTCTAAAAGAAATAATCCACAATGCTTTTCAATATAAAAATGGTAGCATACGCTATAAATTTATTACTTTGGGATACCATACGGCATATAATTTTGTTAATAGTGAACAAAAAGGTAAAACATGCTACACAGAGGAACAAGTGATCAGTATGCTGGAGTTTCTTATTGACAACATATTTGTTGAATTTGGAGGTAGACTTTTTCAACAAATTGTCGGCATTTCTATGGAACGAACTGTGCGCCTCTCCTTGCCGACCTCTTCTTATCTTCATACGAGTCGGAGTTCCTTCAGACACTTGTCAAAAACAAGAAGATCAAAGAAGCCAGATCATTTAATTTCACATTCAGATATATTGATGATGTTCATTCCATTAACAATCCAAACTTTTCTGATTGGGTTCCATTAATATATCCTCCAGAACTAGAAATTAAAGAAACAACAGACACGGCTTCCTTCCCCTAATTTTTGGACTTATACCCCGAATTTGACACAAGCGGTCATCTCAGTACCATAATCTATGACACACGAGACGATTTTAATTTTGAAATTATCAATTTTCCCCACCTTAGTAGCAATATACCAACTTCACCTGCTTATGGGATATACATTTCCCTACTCATTCTGTATTCAAGAGCTTGCAGCTGCTACTCAGACTTTATAAAACGTCACCAGTGTCTGAGCAGAAAGTTGATGAATCAGGGTTATGTCAAAGAAAGTCTCGTCCTTTTTCTAAAAAAAAGTTCATCGGAAGATAACAAGACCTTGTTGATAAATATTCCGTATCAACTTCACAAATAATACATGATGGTCTTAATTGAAGTGTAGATTCTAGGTACTGACGTTGTTTATCATGATCTTAATTACGTGTTATAGTGTTCTTTTATTTGTTTTTATAAATTATTAATAATTATTAATATCACCCACTGTTTACTACGGTCCATTTTTGGTAATATCCTTTTGGCGTGGCTCGGTATTTATACATCCCGCCATTGTGTTATTGTGCTATGGTCATTTTTTGTATTCTTTTCTTTCATTTTTGCTTATGTGCTTTGTTTATATGCCATTTTGTTTTTCTTAGTTGACATATTTGTTTGGTTTTATAGTGATTAAGATTATAACACAATGTTGACTGCTGTACCCCTATTTTTGACTTTTTCCCTATTATGTTTGTTTGTTTTATTCACACATTGTTGTCAATATAATGGAATTTTATGCAACTATCAAACAAGTGAGAGGTTTAGCTAGCTATAAAACCAGGTTTGATCCACCATTTTCTACATAAGGAAATGCCTGTACCAAGACAGGAATATGACAGTTGTTTTCCATTCGTTTGATGTGTTTGAACTTATGATTTTGCCATTTGATAAAGAACTTTCCGTTTTGAATTTTCCTTTTTGGGGTTCGGTATTTTTTTTAATTTTCCTTTTAACTCTCTTATACAGAATTTTCCTCTGTACCAAACCGTGTTGTAGTCAATGGCGGTGATAGGCAGTCGATTCAGATCTGCCTTAGTTTAATAAGATTGTAGCTATGGAAACATATATTCCATCTTTCTTCATCGAAATATTACCGAACCAATACATTAATAAATAAAACATAATGCTCATTTCAAAATATTACTTTATTTCATGAAAAAAGTTCCTCAAATCTGGATTGTTCTATAGAGGGGGACTAACTGCAAGTGTGTGAACAATCGAAAGGGCAAAATAAGACCGAAAAAACAACATCACACACAAAATCTTAAGATAGAAATCATGATTCAAACTGTATAATAGTATATTGAGTGAAATTTATGCTCTTTGTGTCTGAAAACTCTTTCTTGTAAATAGATAATTTGAAACACCTGCAAAATATGAAATCTTTCGTGATAAATGACAAGTTATCATATTTGTACCGAGTATAAAAACGACGCCAATGGTAAACTAGGGTATAGTATCAATTCTCCCGTCCGGCAGTAACCCATGCCGAGGAATGTTACAGGGCAGTATTTTACAACTATCGACTGTGAGATATCCTCTTTTTTTCAGTAGGTATTCAAAATTTACCTGTTCATTATCCCAGTCCACCATTTTTGTTTCAGAATCTACCGACTGTTAGAATTATTGTTGATTTGTACTAGTACTGGATATGCATGATGTATTTGCCACTGAACATTGAACAAACATTAAAAAAATCGCTTTTTTGCATCTATAAATGCTGGAAATCCTCTTTGGACAAATGCTTCGTCCTTAATTCATCCACTCCCAAATAGCATTAGGGTCCTGACTTCCTCTGTGTCTGTCACTATATAAATAGGGGTTAATTATAAGTTACGCCACTGACATATGCAATGTACAACTACATTCGGGATGTATAAATATACACCCCAAGGTTTTAGCAGCCACCCCACTTGGATGATTTACACAATATTTTGCAATGGTATTCGCAAAAAAAAAACATCGTTTACAATTTAATGCGCTATATATGCAGTATGTTGATTAATTAAGGCGACAGTAGTTAACCGACGTTCAAATATGTAAATCGAATAAGAAGAGACAAATTGAGGTAACAAGCAAAAACTGAACTCCAAAAGTAGCCAGACCGATTGCGACGATAGGGTAAGCATCTCTTGCTATGCATACAATACCCACCATGCAAATCGCCACTCAAATTGTCACAATCGGGAATAGGACATAATCGTTGGTGTAAAATTACAGAACAGACTACTATACTGGTTTCTTTAGATCTAAGACCACGAAAACATGTCGGTAGTGAGTTAAGATACCGACACATCGTATCGGTCAAACAATTCGGAAAAATTGAGTCAAAATAACAACTTTACGAACATATGAATGGCCATCATACTAAGTCACATTTTCAACACCGTCGACAGCTGAAATCTTCAACATGATCATATTTTGTAAATCTCAACCAAATAACTAAATAAATATTCTGATCAGTCACCAAACCATGGCTTCTTGCAAGAATTTCGTGAGGGAGATTATGAATAAGGAAATTAAAAACATTGACAGTAGATAGAATCAATGAGAAGTTGTTAAATGACTTGTAGTCTGTCCTTATTTAACGACTAAAACATGATACCATATACACGCATATAGAATAAACAATTCAAGACTTACTTTTTCTTAAAGTTTTTATTGATAATAGTTAAAGTGTCAAATAACCGTCTCGTCTATTCATTAATTACTTCACTCGTCTAAAAATTCGACAATGAGTAAATATTCACATTGAATACGAGAATCACTTGCCTTTTTGTGTATTGTATATTGTTTACATAATAAAGAGAAATAAGAAGATGTGGTATGAGTGCCAATGAGACAACACTCCATCCAAGTCACAATGTGTAAAAAGTTAACAATTATAGGTCAAAATACGGCCTTCAACACGCAGCCTTGGCTCACACCGAACAACAAGCTATAAAGGGCCCCAAAATGACTAGTGTAAAACAATTCAAACAGGAAAACCAACGGCCTAATCTATATAAAAAACGAGAAACGAGAAACACTAATGAACCACATCAACAAATGACAACCACTGAACAATGGGTTCCTGACTTAGGACGGGTGCAAACAAATGCAGCGGGTTTAAACGTTTTAACAGGCGCCAACCTTCGCCCTAACCTGAAACAGTAGTGTAACATTACAACATAGAAAGACACACTATAAAATATCAAGTGAAATGGCTTAACTCGACCAAAAAGACATATTAACAAAAACAAGTAAACATACACTGAACAAATAAATTTGATCTATGACACAATATAAATACAATATTAATAAAAAAGAGGAGATGCTTATCTCCGAATGTCCCATATATTGTTTTTTTTTTTTATTTTAGAGGTTTTTTTTATTCCACATCAAAGGTTCTGATTGTCCCACATTATTTTATGGTGCAAAGAGTTCTTAAATAAACGATATAATGATTTGTTTTGCAATATTTAATTGATAATATATATTCTATGAACATACAAGTGTGGACACAGATCAGTGTGGATAGTAATTGTTTTATTAGTGTTAGAACGTTTCACAGTATTTTCTTCACTGAGTTTATGTATTGGTTGTGCCCCATCAGATGTTTTCTGAGGTATTTTTGTCTTTTTTATAGAGCTCTATATTAACTGATTTCAAATAAGAAGCAAAATCTCAAAATAAGTATGAACATACTTGTAGGTTGATTTCAATTTTGCATACGTAGAAATAAATCCTCGGAAGAAAAAAAACGTTTTTATAAGTATCAAACATTTTTTAAGATAAAAATTTATTTTTTTATGTTATATTTATTTATGTTTAAATAATTGTGAACTTTGATAAAATGAATAATATTACATGTAATTTTTGATTTTAATATCTCTTTTGATTCCAAAGTTTGTATTTAAATTTTATACACATGCATATAATTTTCAAACAGTAAAAAAACCGAGATACCAAGAACTAGAAACACCCTTGATTATGAATTGCTGTTTAATGGCAAGTATTATATGCATGTCAGTACGAGAACACGTTCAATCCTTACTTTGTACTAAACCGGCATGCTAGTTTTTCAAAGTTGAGTCAAGATGGCTTAAGCAATGTTACAAGTCATGTTTGTGTACAACAAGAGCGATTCATGTATTCGGTTGAACCAACAGACGACTAGAGAATTACTATTAAACCGAGGTACCAACAACTAGAAACACCAATGATGATAAATTGTAGTTAAACGTCCAGTAGCAGGTATTATATGCATGTCAGTACCAACACGTTCGATCCTTACTTTGTATACTATACCGGCATGCTAGTTTCTCAACGTTGAGTCAGGATGGCGTACGCAAAGTTACAAGTCACGTTTGTAGACAAGAGCGATTCATGTATCAAGTTGAACCAACAGACGACTATGGAATCCTTATTAAACCGAGATACCAACAACTAGAAACACACATGATAATGAATTGTTGTTTAACGTCCAGTGTCAAGTATTATATGCATGTCAGTACGATAAGACTGTTGACCCTTACTTTGTACTAGACCGACATGCTGAACAGGATTTTTATCGTGCTAGTTTACAAGGTTACATTCCATGTCATCCTATCCAGACAAACTTTTCTGACTCTAAGCCAACCAGTCTTTCTCTTGCTCTTTAATGCTTATTGCGTTGCGAAGAAGCAGTAAATATAAATTTTCAAGTCTTTGCGTTACCCGACCCGACCTCTGCTACTCGAGACGAGCACGCTTCCATGAGACACACAAGGTGGTTCGTATGGAATAACCTAAGATGATTCAAGTACCACTGTCAAACAGTTTCTAAATTATGGTATATAATGAAACTATGTTCATGGTCTTAGTATTTGTATAAACAGATATCAAACATATTCATTTTTTCTTTGATTGAATCTCAAAGTATGATCTGTCATAATAATGAGTAGTTCTAAACATTCTCTAAAAATGTCTAACATAGCTGTACAATTATTAGTTCCAATATAGATTTCCTCCTCTAAACATTTAATTTCAAAACCAGAAAAATTTTCATTTAGACACCAACATTTCTAAGTTAGTGAGATACAAGTTATTAAATTATATCCTAAATAGTTTTGCTATTACCGCACAATCATCATTTTCAATCATTATCATCTGAATCATTTAAGCTATCAGTTATGTCTTCTACAAGGTCGTTGTACTTTTCTTGCCTTTTCATGTCTTCATATACAGAAGACAGAAGAACGCCTTGTTCAACTGTTAAAAAGTTCTCTTTGTCGGTGTCTGAAAATGAAAGTTCTTCATACAAGAAATTTGGATATCCCCTTAATAACATCAGAACACCATATGGTTCATCTAGACGCTTATCAACCATGATTCCTAATGCCCCGGATGCACCTGGCCCTGATGCACAGTGGAATAATATCTTATCGGTTTTAGCAATGTCACAATACTCGTTTTCTACGTTGATTCCTTTTGAGGCTGCCCATTCTTTTGACTTTTCTACTTCGTCCTTTTTCAACTGATATAATTCAATCCTTGGATCTGCAGTTTGCGGAAGGCCGGCTAAATGACTGATTATATATACTGGATTGTTCTTTTTAATTTTAGAGATCATTGAAATGGACGGTGGGAAAGGTTTGTCTCTTTCTTCTTTCAATTCTAGAATAACTACATCTAAATCTACATTCTCATAAGCTATATTTGTGAAATGGAACACATTTTTTTCGTTCTGAATCTGGTTGTGTGATATATACTCAAACTCAACATAGCATCTGCTTGACCTTAGTTTATTTATATCAATTGTGTTGTTGGTTGCTGCAAAAAAACAAACAAATTTGTACCAAATCAAAATTTGCATGTACATTTGAAGCCATAATACTAGATGTATCAGTGAAAATATGTTATTATAAATTTTGTATTTATCAATGGAATTGTTGATTTGTTATTCATCTTTTTTCTTGATATAGGATCTTGAAAACATATTCCCTGCAAAAGCTTTGGCCTATAAATCTCCAGTAAAGATCGATATTCGCCAAACAAGAAGACTTAGTATGATTGTCAACGAGACAAATATTAATTATAGACCAAATGACATAAATGTTAGCAATTATATTAGGTCACCGTACGATCTTCAAACCCATGCCGCATAGCAAGCTATTAAAGGCCCCGACGTGACAAAATCATGTTAAAATGTCAAACAATTCAAACGAGAAAACCAACAGGCTGATTTATGTGGTGACTCCATAACAATAAACGAAAAATAAATGCATGTATAATATACAGCAACAAGCGACTGAATTACAGGAAACCATGCTAAAAGGGTGTTTTTTATCTGTGTGTGTGGGTGTTTTTTTGTTGTTTTTTTTTTTGGGGGGGGGGTCCTCAATTATGTTTTTTTCAACTTTTTTACTCCAAACAAGTGTGCACACGCTGAAATATCTCACCTGCTTAATTGACCATTGATTTTATTTTGATAGTGCTATATATAAAGTTTTACTACAAGTATCACATAAACTTAACATGATCAAAGAAAATGAGGTCAAGGTCAGATAAACCAAGCCAGAAATATATGTAAACCTTACAATCATTCAATACACCAAATAAAGTTGACCGATTGCTTATGTATTCAAGAAACAAAAAAAAAACATGAAAATGAGGTCAAGGTCAGATGAACCCTGTCAGACAGACATGTACATCTTACAATCATTCAATGCCTTCAATATAGTTGTCCTATTGCATAGTTACTGTATCTAAGAAACACACTTAACAAGGAAAACTTAACATTGACTCTAAGCCAACCAGTCTTTCTCTTGCTCTTTAATGCTTATTGCGTTGCGAAGAAGCAGTAAATATAAATTTTCAAGTCTTTGCGTTACCCGACCCGACCTCTGCTACTCGAGACGAGCACGCTTCCATGAGACACACAAGGTGGTTCGTATGGAATAACCTAAGATGATTCAAGTACCACTGTCAAACAGTTTCTAAATTATGGTATATAATGAAACTATGTTCATGGTCTTAGTATTTGTATAAACAGATATCAAACATATTCATTTTTTCTTTGATTGAATCTCAAAGTATGATCTGTCATAATAATGAGTAGTTCTAAACATTCTCTAAAAATGTCTAACATAGCTGTACAATTATTAGTTCCAATATAGATTTCCTCCTCTAAACATTTAATTTCAAAACCAGAAAAATTTTCATTTAGACACCAACATTTCTAAGTTAGTGAGATACAAGTTATTAAATTATATCCTAAATAGTTTTGCTATTACCGCACAATCATCATTTTCAATCATTATCATCTGAATCATTTAAGCTATCAGTTATGTCTTCTACAAGGTCGTTGTACTTTTCTTGCCTTTTCATGTCTTCATATACAGAAGACAGAAGAACGCCTTGTTCAACTGTTAAAAAGTTCTCTTTGTCGGTGTCTGAAAATGAAAGTTCTTCATACAAGAAATTTGGATATCCCCTTAATAACATCAGAACACCATATGGTTCATCTAGACGCTTATCAACCATGATTCCTAATGCCCCGGATGCACCTGGCCCTGATGCACAGTGGAATAATATCTTATCGGTATTAGCAATGTCACAATACTCGTTTTCTACGTTGATTCCTTTTGAGGCTGCCCATTCTTTTGACTTTTCTACTTCGTCCTTTTTCAACTGATATAATTCAATCCTTGGATCTGCAGTTTGCGAAAGGCCGGCTAAATGACTGATTATATATACTGGATTGTTCTTTTTAATTTTAGAGATCATTGAAATGGACGGTGGGAAAGGTTTGTCTCTTTCTTCTTTCAATTCTAGAATAACTACATCTAAATCTACATTCTCATAAGCTATATTTGTGAAATGGAACACATTTTTTTCGTTCTGAATCTGGTTGTGTGATATATACTCAAACTCAACATAGCATCTGCTTGACCTTAGTTTATTTATATCAATTGTGTTGTTGGTTGCTGCAAAAAAACAAACAAATTTGTACCAAATCAAAATTTGCATGTACATTTGAAGCCATAATACTAGATGTATCAGTGAAAATATGTTATTATAAATTTTGTATTTATCAATGGAATGGTTGATTTGTCATTCATCTTTTTTCTTGATATAGGATCTTGAAAACATATTCCCTGCAAAAGCTTTGGCCTATAAATCTCCAGTAAAGATCGATATTCGCCAAACAAGAAGACTTAGTATGATTGTCAACGAGACAAATATTAATTATAGACCAAATGACATAAATGTTAGCAATTATATTAGGTCACTATACGATCTTCAAACCCATGCCGCATAGCAAGCTATTAAAGGCCCCGACGTGACAAAATCATGTTAAAATGTCAAACAATTCAAACGAGAAAACCAACAGGCTGATTTATGTGGTGACTCCATAACAATAAACGAAAAATAAATGCATGTATAATATACAGCAACAAGCGACTGAATTACAGGAAACCATGCTAAAAGGGTGTTTTTTATCTGTGTGTGTGGGTGTTTTTTTGTTGGTTTTTTTTTGGGGGGGGGGGGGTCCTCAATTATGTTTTTTTCAACTTTTTTACTCCAAACAAGTGTGCACACGCTGAAATATCTCACCTGCTTAATTGACCATTGGTTTTATTTTGATAGTGCTATATATAAAGTTTTACTACAAGTATCACATAAACTTAACATGATCAAAGAAAATGAGTTCAAGGTCAGATAAACCAAGCCAGAAATATATGTAAACCTTACAATCATTCAATACACCTAATAAAGTTGACCGATTGCTTATGTATTCAAGAAACAAAAAAAAACATGAAAATGAGGTCAAGGTCAGATGAACCCTGTCAGACAGACATGTACATCTTACAATCATTCAATGCCTTCAATATAGTTGTCCTATTGCATAGTTACTGTATCTAAGAAACACACTTAACAAGGAAAACTTAACATTGACCAATGAACCATGAAAATGAGGTCAAGGTCAGATGATAACTACCAGACAGACAGTTAAACCTTACAATTATTCCATACACCAAATATAGTTGACCTATTGCTTATAGTTTAAGAAAAACAGACCAAAACGGAAAAAAACATTAACATTGAGCAATGAACCGTAAAAATAAGGTCTAGGTCAAATAAAATATTCAAGACTGACATGTACATTGTTAAATATTCCCATACACCAAATATAGTTGAACTATTGTATACAGCATTAGAAAAACCAACCTAAACACAAAAACGTAACTTTAACCACTGATCCATGAAAATGAGGTCAAGGTCAGTTGACACCTGCCAGTTGGACATATACACCTTACAATCATTCCATACACCAAATATAGTAGACCTATTGCTAATAGTATCTGAGATATGGACTTGACCACGAAAACTTAACCTTGTTCACTGACCCATGAAATGAGGTCGATCAAGTGAAAACTGTCTGACAGGCATGAGGACCTTTTAAGGTACGCACATACCAAATATATATAGTTATCCTATTATTCATAATAATGAATAAATTAAGATTACAGAAAATCATAATATTTCTCAATTAGTCACTGAACCATGAAAACGAGATCAAGGCATACGACAAACGAAAACTTCATAACATGAGGCATCTATATACAAAGTATGAAGCATACAGGTCATCAACCTTCTGAAATATTAAGCTTTTAAGAAGTAAGTTACCGCCGCCACCGCCTGTTCACTATCCCTATGTCTCGCTTTTTACGACAGAAGTCGCAAATTTCGACGAAAAATGTTTTATTTACCAATAATATTGTAAACTACGTGACGAGCTGTTGCAAAGAACTTGCTGCCAACCCGAAATCCGCTTCCTGTCCCATCTGGGTCACGAATAATCCCTACTGAATACGAAGCTTTTGTAAGGATTCTATAGTTTCTCATTAAGTCTTTATCGTCACATCTCTTCCAAAAATTGGACAAATCTGCAAATACAAAATTTGAATAGACAATTATTAATTATTTCTTGTTTGGCCGATCAAACAGTAATACTTATTGTATAAGCTGCAAAATGAAAACAAATTGCTTGTAGCATGAGCACTTAGTTAGTGACACAATGTACCTTGTTTTTAATTTTTCACATCGCGAACTCCAGTTGTTAGTTTCCGTAAGTTTTTTGTTTTCTTTTAATACCCAAAGTTCTCCTACCACATATGAACAATCAATTGCTCAATATATAATATAATTAATTGTTCATTGCTTTTGCATTCAATCAAAAAATTGAATTGACGTAATATTTTCTTGACTAAAATCTTTATTAGCAGAGATACAGATATTATGAATTTGTCATAACTTGTGAAAGTTGGATTTCACTTCCATGAATTTAACACAAAGTGGTTGTTTACGGTAATATTATTTATGAAGCAAACGTGTTAAGGAATTGTCCTTGAAATTGTTCTCTTTGACTAAAAATTTCAGATGTCATTGTTGTTTAATCACTGTTTCTGATATGTTTGGGGAGAAAGATCGATTTGCTATTTCGTAATTTAAAGCAATTTAAAAATGTTTCTTATGTTTTTTCTGTATCAAAATTCTGTAAGTTTGTTCTGCACAAGATCTGGTCTTTCTGATTTGTTTACGACGTTCCTCTGTGAGATTTCTATGAAGTTCAGCAACCTATATGAGATTATAGAACGGCATGTTAAAGGCACTGTTTGTGACTTTCTGTGTGAAATTTCTATGAAGTTCAGCAACCGATATTAGATTATAGAACACCATATTAAAGGCCGTGTTCACATCAAGCTAATCTAGGTGTTATGCGCGGTAAGTGTACTCAACACTTTAACTAAATTATATTAAACGTTCCCATTGATTAAAATCAATGTTTACCAGGTTTTGACTATACGTGCAGTCGATAGTCAATGTAGGTCTGGTGTGGTTTATGTGTATAAATAGAATAGATATTAAGAACGTGGATTGTATTATGAATATTTAAGTTGCATGTATAGAATAAAAATTATTATAATAATATTATGAATTATGTTTTTCACCAATCTGTATGTTAAAAACTCAGAAATTGCTCTGTTAAAAGCATGATTAAATTCAAATAGCCTTAGTGGGCCATTTGCTTTTCAGTAGGAGGGGTTCTTTTTTTGCTGATGGAATATTCATTTTACACCTGTTGATAGTACAGCAGCCGCTTATTTAGCGCGAAAATTATTTTCACTTTTTGTACACAACTATTTCTTGCTAAGTCCTGCATTTTGTAGGACAAAATATTCATTTCCATCCTATCTTGGACAAGGTATTTTTTTACAGTTAGTTCCAGTCAAAATTATTAATTTCCAAAATAGCCCCATGGGTGATTGGAGAATAGAAATATGGTAACTTAGTTATTCATCCAATCGGCAGTAAAACCTTTGCCAAAGTGGGGCGTCCGTTTGGCTGTGCGTTATGTACAAGTACTCAACCACGTCCGATCAGAATAGGGACATTAAATGCGAAACCGCTTGCCACGCTCTCTGCATGTAGGAAACCTTTTCAACAACTCTGAGGGGTTCATAGGTGGCCTGTTGCAGAGCAAAATGTCTGTCTCTATCCAATATACTCTCATCATCCAATGGCAATCAAAATTTTCCCGTACACCTTCTCGGAAGGCCTCTTTTACAGGACCTACCTATTGTTTTATAGTGAATTTGTCCTCGTCGTGAACATGCATGAAATATTTGTCACTGGACGTTAAGCAACCAACAATCAATCAATATATAATTTCTAAAATCCTTTTTTCGCCTATTGTTACGTTGTTTTAGTCTGCGTAATCGTGACATCTTTACAATCTCAAATTTCTCCAAATCAATGGATCAATTTTCTCAAGTTACCGACCATTCATCTTCGGGGAACAAACCATTTTTTTGTTACTTAAATAAAAAGCAAACATTTTTATTAAATAAAATACAGGCACATTTTTTTAAATCCATGTTGAATTCCCCCGCCCTTCATTTTCAATGAAATCAAACGATTTTTCTCACTTCCATCTTGAAACAATTTTTTATTTAAATTGGAATTTAAACAATTTATCTACACCACTCATCTCCTTTTATTCATATAAAACAAATCAAAGCAAAACGTGCAGTGTTTGTTATGTTCAAATCACACTTCTTGAATTCAGCGAGTCTGTCATTAAAACACATCAGTAGTCATCTACAATTTAATTAAACCAAAAGACAGAAAAACAGTAAAAAATAAAGTTAGCTCGTCATCCTATATAATTTATATATACATACTTGTTGGGTCAACATATTTCGAACGGATGTTACGGTTAGATCTGTAGCATGCATCTTGAGAAGAACCACCATATGCACCGTCAGTTTCTAAATCAATATTATTCAAATTAGCAGTTGCAGCATCTAAATCGCTTTGGTAGGGTTGTGTCTCTTTTGAACAATTTAACTTTACGATCGATTTTTCCAAATTTGGAATTCTTCGATGTATTATGGAATCTATTGATTGGTCTGATGCTACTTTCTCAATAAGATAAGAATGCCGTTTATGTTGCAACTTAAGTTCTCTTTCTTCCCTTTCGTTTAGTCTGCTATTGATTAGTGCTTGGACAATTGTGTCGAATAATTTGTTTGATGGATAATATTTGATTTCTTTGAGCGCATTTAACCCCATTGGTATTTTAAATTTCACCTGTCGTCTTGGTGCAGTCAATACAGGCATCACACACCATTGCTTTTTGTCGTTATATATTGTTTCCATTAGACAAGCTTGACCCATTAATTTGCACCAACTGTCCTTCACAAAGACTTTAGAAAGATAAACAAAACAATATGTGCATCGTTCAAAGGATTCTTCTAAGTTATCTAGCTCACCACCGGCTAAGGAAATAAGCTCTCCTCCGTCATATAGCACTGCATTAATTTTTCTTCCGTTGCTTAATTGTATGCTAGAAAGAGCTAGCCGAAATTTATCTACCTCTTTATAATCATCTTCGTGATATATGATAAAAATATCGAAGCAAGCTACTTTCAAACATGATGGTAAATGGTGAAAATGTTTAGAAACAAATTTACTTTGTTCGTCTTCATACAATCCTTTAAAATTCCCTGCTGCTGATGAAGAAACTGCTTCAACTCCATTTCCAATTGGGACCTCTGAAAACATACACAATAGTAAATGTTTGTAGCACTCAACCTTCCAATTTACAATTTTGATCAGAGGAATAAGAAAAGGCCCAGAATAGAGTTTTAAAAAGTCCAAACAGGCACTATAGTCTGCAATAAATGCATTACAGACAAAAGGCAGGGGCGGATTCATGATTTTTGAAAGGGGGTTTGGGGGGGGGGGGGGGGGGGTAATTCCATAAAAGTGAAGTAATAGCGCCGATCGTTGCGAGACGAATTTATTTTAGACGATTTTATGCTATAAATGATATATTTTCCAATCAAAGGGGACGTACGCCCTCTTTCCTTAATCCGCCACTGAAAGATATAAGTAAAACAATCAAAATAAATAATACTGTATCAAATTATACTCGTAGTGATGGAAAGCAAGCACTAGGTGTGCAAGAAAGAAATCATTCCATCAAAAACTATTATATTGACGACTCTACCTCAGAGAAGAGTTTTACAGAAAGACAATATATTGTGCAATGCCGATTTAAGTTTGACGTACAGAATTGGAATACCATCCCAGGTATCTCGATTTGATGTCTAAGGTGCTGATTTAAGAAAAAAACTATTCAAAGTTATTTTTTTGCATGTTTTAATAACAACTTTCCCAAACATAGTATGCATGCAACCTCTAACAACTATGACAAGCTTATCAAGTAAATTAAATGTAGTTGGTTTCATCATTACGAAACCAAAAAGATATTTCAGTTGAGAGGCGATTTTTGTTTGCTTAAAAAATGCGTTTCTTCTAAATTTCTGTCTTTATACATGTATGCGTCTAAACGCTTAATATTATTATTTTTTTTTACCGATTTACTACCGGCGTGAAGCCCAATGAATCAACAAACACTGTTAATGATGACAACATTGTGCTGTTTCCCATTTTGTGAAACCAAATGCCAAAATACAGGAGACAGTGTTTTAACAACTTTTAATAATGAAATAAAGTTATCATATAAAACAAAGAATTCCGCTCAAGCTGATTCTAGGGGCTGTCTTAAACTTGCAGCGAGGTGAGAGGTTTTTTTTGCTCAATGTTGAAGGCCACTGTACGTGACTTTGAGATGAAGAACAGCAGTAAAAGCGCTGTTCCTTTGCTTTTTGTGTGTTTTTGTTGTGCATATACTGATTTCATGGATGGATACCCAATATCCTTTGTTTTTCTTTTCTATTAAAAAAAAATGTTGTTTTTTAAAGTTAAGAAAATATTATGGTTATTGAATTTTAAACGTGTATGTAAATCCCTGAAAATCAAGCCAACTGGGAATTATACGCTATCTTTAGAAAACGGAACATCGCCATCAAAGAAAATTAAAAGATACCAGAGGAAAGGAAAGCCGATCCGTTTGTTATAATTTTGAAATAATGATATTACATGTATGTTTCACGAGAATCTGTTAGTTTGATTGGCTAACAACACTCGCGCATCATACAAAAATTAACCCTCAAATCAAAATTAAATGTTACATTCGTGATGACACGTGCTTCCACAAAAAAGTGCACAGGTAAATAAAAGAAAAACTTGATAAAACTTTTTTTTTCGTGGTCTTATTAGCATAAAATGTAATTATAAGAAATGAATGCTACTTTTTTTAATTTTATTGGGGTGTAAAAGTGTTGATGAAGCGCGGAAAAGAAGCATTAATTTCTTGAATGAAGAAAAGCGTAAGAAATTCTAAAACAAAGACAACGATTACTCAGTAGAAATAAGTTCAATTAGTTTTTAAAACAAACCTGGGATATAATAAGGACAAACACAGTCCCTTTCACAGTATAGACTACTAAATGATTATTTAATTTAGTGTTTTTCTATATATTGTATCCGAACAGAACGACTACAATAGATTATTTACTTCCAGAATAATACCGAAAGACCATTATTCTAAATAGGAAAATTTCACTTAAATTAAAATATGATTATGTGGCAGTGTCGTATACAAAGAATAGAGAAATCATATCTGTCACTGGAGATCAACTGCACCTCAAATTAACGTAGCTTACCAAAGATTGATTGGTTGATTGGTTGATTGATTGACAATTGCTGTACGCCGTATCATCACAAATAGGCTATATCGCGGCGAGAGCTTTTTCAAATATTTTAACAAAATACAGTTTCAAAAATCAGACAAAAGGTTTTTCAAATTACTCAAACTTTTGTTTAAAGCGAAATAAAGCCTAACTTATTTACAAATAAAACTGACCAAGTTAGATAAAGAGATAAAATTTTAAAATCATTTTACAATAATACAACATATCTTTATTTTTGAATATATTCCAATTTCTTTTAAAAATGAAACAATTATTTGGACTTGAATTTTATTAAATAAATCATACGTATTATTTACATTAAAATGTTTTCTCCGAATATCGGAAAAGTCTATACATTCTATTAAATAGAAATAAGAAGATGTGGTATGAGTGCCAATGAGACAATTCTCCATCCAAGTCACAATGTGTAAAAAGTTAACAATTATAGGTCAAAGTGCGGCCTTCAACACGGAGACTTGGCTCACACCGAACAGCAAGCTATAAAGGGCCCCAAAATGACTATTGTAAAACAATTCAAACAGGAAAACCAACGGTCTAATCTATATAAATAAACTGCTTCGCTGAGCGCAGCTGGATACGCCCGCAGAGGTCCAACCTTGAACAGTTGGGTCAAAAGTGGACGCAATATTCAAGCTTGATACAGGTCTGAATTTGGATTGTAATTAAATATTTGACATATTATAGGTTTCTGAATAAATATAGTCAAAGAACTTGAAATTGGTTATATGAATTGAATTTATATTCAATTAAAGATTTCTTGCTGTTGTGCAATACACTGTGCTGTTGCGCAATACTTAGTAAATATGTTGTCAGACTATAAACAAATAAAGTTCAATTAATTCTCAATGTCATATTAGAAATTTATGAAAACGTTAAGGGAGCTTACATCAATAGATATAAACAATTCACCAAAGTTTCATGAGAATTGCTGACAGCATTTTTGAGTTCTTGTCCGAAAACTGGAAAATCCCCCCTTTTTTAATGAATAAAACCCCATAACTCAGAAATGTAAAAGTTCTATGCAAATTGGTTAAATCGTTTTTGAGTTAATGTCCGACATGCTGACGACGGACGGACAGACGGACAGACGGACGGACGGACAGACGGACAGACGGACGGACGGACAGACGGACAGACGGACAACGGTATACCATAATACGTCCCGTAAACGGGCGTATAAAAACGAAAAACGAGAAACACTTATGAACCACATCAACAAACAAAACCACTGAACAACAGGCTCCTGAATTAAAACATGTTTAATTGCATACTTGCAATCGCAAGGTATACATTGTGGTTGAATTTCATTTTTCAAAAGATAGTCATGTGTTATTCTAGTGTGCCCGATACGGCATCGAGAAATAATTAAACACACTGATCTTTTCTGAATATAAAATTGTTTAAAAGTTTGCATATATTTGATTTTATTTCATGCAATTTAGTGTCGGTCGTTCCTTTTACTCCATGCATTTTTCCATATATTAAAACTATATTCTGTAATATTAGATTTAAAATCAGCGTATGTTATTGCACATTTAGATAATGGGTCGTTCAGGGCATTTTTGCTTCCTGATCTACAATCTGGCACCCATAGAAATACAATTTCTTTATCGATAATATTCAAATTTCTCATTACGTAAAGGATTTTTAGAATTAACGGGTTTTTAATATATAAATGAATTTTGGTATTTTGTATTGCTTGAAGATATGACAGCGAGTCAGAACATATATATAATAAATTTTGATTTGTCAAAAGTAGCAATAAACTGCAAGGCAAGAATAATAGCCTTAGCTTCTGCAGTAAAGACGAATGCAGCAGGAGGTAAGCGGAGCATTGTACCTCGGTCACCAAAGACAGCAGCAGACGAAACTCTGTCTCCATCCATCGACCTATCAGTATAAACAGTTGAAAAATCAGATTTGTTGCTGAATTTTAAAAGGATTTGATTCAGCCTTATTGTATTTACGGAGATCAAATATCATTTGTTGGTTTAGGAAGTTCCCATTTACAAGTTTGAACTGGAGCAACCGATTCCAGATAAAAGGTATATAGATATGGTTTTTAACGAATTCCTAATGGAAGAATTTTATTCTCATGTTTTCAAATATCGTCATAAATGTGATAGAAAACACAGTTGTAAGCAAATTTGTCTGGAAATGCCCTTAGCTTGACGGCATATGAGAGAGTGAAGGCTAGACGGCCTCTACATACATATTCTCAACTGGCGAGGTTTTAAAGGCACCAGGACACCGACGAAGACAACTGGCGAGGTTTTAAAGACACCAAGACACCGACGAAGACCTTGGTTATGCACAGTATCGATAATTTGTATGTATAACTTCCTTTGTGGAGCCATACACTATGTCCAAAATCTTGTTTAGACCGAACGCGTGATCTACATAAATTTAATAAAATGTTACGATCAGCAACCCCTTTCAATGCTAGCCACAACTTTTAAAATATCTAAATAAAACATTTAGACACTTTGATTTTAACATTTTAATATGGGGAAGAAAATTTTATAAAAGTTTTAGGTTTCATCAACCAGTGTAATCTAGTAAGAGTAAAGCTCAGGATCAAGATGCAATTTCTGTTTGTTGCAGAAATGCATCCCGACGGTTTTTGAAGTAGAAAATTAAAACCATTTTCAGAAGCCCATTTTTCAAATCTACCAAGGCTGTAGATTGTAGTTGACGTTCTATATTACTCATATTTTGGCCTCGGTAACATATTATTATTAAGAAATCAACAACGTACAAAGAACCTTCATTATTGCTTTTTAAAAATTCAACAAGACTGTTAATTTTAAACTGAACAATGTAACATATAAAATACTCCATTGAGGGACACCCATCTCCTGATCATAAAGATCACACATGGTTGAGTTAACTCTGACATTAAATTGCCTAAAATTTGCTTATTTGTCTCAATTACTGTTGTAGGCTAGAATATAACAAAATTTAAAGATTGCTTCATATGTGGCATGTGAAGTCTGTTTCTTCTTGCTCGAAAGGAAAACAAATTTTAAAAAATGACATGTGTTGCACGATCTCTTAATTTATGAAGATATGTTTGATTAGAGGGGATTGTTCTTGTGATTTCCTTTACAGCGTTGAATAATGTATATATGCATTGTTACAATTCCTAAATGAATTTTAATTTGTTTGGTACAAAATTAATGTACATTGTTTTTGTAAAAAAAGTACAATGTTTTGTCAAACATTAGCGGTTTTTGACATATACAAGATGACCAGTAAAACACTAATTAATTTCAAGATGTTTAACATAGTTTGCATTTGAAACTCTAACCATACGAGAATAAAATGATCCAACTTTGTAATTAATTGTTACCTGAAGGCACAGCATCTGACTCAATATCAGTTTTTCCAGACATCTCATACATGTAGTCTGGTCCTTTGGCAGTGTTTATCTACATGCATATTTCTGAAAATGAATTATAGCCATAGCATCTTTTTTGTTAAACAACTATAATTGTATATTTATAGACAGACAGGGAGGGGGAGGGGGGGGGGGGGGGGGCTTGGATGAAATTTGAAAAAAAGGCAGGACAGGAGTTTTGAGTAAAAAAAAGGCAGGATGAGCAACTTGGCAAAAAAAACAGGCAGTATGACAATTTATGTAAAAACAGTCAAGATAAACTAATAAAAAAGGTAGGACCGATTAGAGTGAAATATAAAAAGGCAGGACAGAGATTACAACTAAAAAAAAATGCAGGACAACATTTTTCATCCTAGCCCCCCTCCCCATAAAAATCAAATGTTAGCTCCCGTATGGTAAAGCAATGTAATTTATATCCTCAACCAACAATTTCATCTATACAAAATCAAGGAAGTAAGCAGTTGAGTAAAGACTAATTGAATGCAGTTCATTGTTGAAGACTGTATGGTAGGTACCCTGTACATGTCTTTTTTATTTATATGTTAGGTTGGTGTCTCAATTATGGATACATTACACCCCCTTTTTTCATGTATACAAACTTGAATGTGTAGATAAAAAAGTGTTCATGAACATTATTCAAACTTAATTTCCAAAATATGATCATTATTTTTAGATTTTATAATTACAATAGAGAGGGTGGTAAAGGGTTATTTTCGTGCAACGTGTTTTGCCATTTTTATTTCACGTGCAGCCGTGAAAAAGGTTCGTTATTCACCGTGTTTCGTGAAATCGGTAAAAAGATCAACGTGCAAGAAATTTTTAATTGTTCGTTCATCGTGAAATGGCGATTTTATTTCGCGTTCTTCCGTGCAGATACTTTTTTCTGTAATTTTGGACATTTTGAATTCAAAAGTCTCTTTGATACTGGAGTACCCTCTACAGTGTAGTAGCATATGTGCTGTTCATTTTCAATTTCGCCATTTTTACAGATTTCACAAATTCTTTGACCCCTTACATATCCTAATGCCAACGAGATACCCGGAAATCCAAAACACAATTCGAATATTACTCTCTGTTGGTGCTAAATATTTGGGGATTTCCAAGTACAACTTTGGATTTTTAAAATATGATATATAGTATTTGCTGATCTAGATAAAAATGTGAATGCACATGTTCAACATAACAATAATTTAGTTATCACTTCTGTAAACAAAACACAAACTGCCATTGTGATGTGAAAATATCTAAATTTGAATTGAAATTTTGCGATGTTAACAGCTTACCTTATCTGCATTGGATTTATCGAATCAACTTTACTTTAGAATTCAATTTGATATAATTCGTACATTTTCCGCCATTACAGTGTTATTTCAATCGTTTCAATTTATAAATAAGACAGAATATTCATGTTCTATTTTTGCCAAAGGGGATTTCCTTAGGAAATACCGGGGGAACACTTTACACTGGTGACGTTATTGTTAAATTTTGGGACATGACGATAAACAAATGCCAGTATTTTCTTTCATTAACAATTTGGAATGGTTTATAATAAAAATTTAAAGATTCTTTGTACATGCTGTATGCAAATATAAAATTGGGGGAAAACATGGATATTATCTGTGAAATATCAGACCTGAATGGTTTTGTAAATTACAAGAATAGTTGATTACACACACAAGATGACAATTAAAGTTCCCAAGTCCGGAAAAATAACAAAAAAAGGAAAGCATTCCTTCATTGTATATGCATAATTGTAATAGTAGTACTTGAGCAATAATACAGTGAATTAATTATTTTCGAGGCTCTTGGTTGAAATCTGTATTTGCTTCGAAAGATGTTTACGTGACGTCGCTTGCTGCAAAATATACTAGCCTTGAATGACGTATAAAATCATGGTGAAATAACAATGATTAGTAAATATAAGAAGATTTGGTATGAGTGCCAATGAGACAACTCTCCATCCAAGTCACAATTTGTAAAAGTAAACCATTTTAGGTCAAAGTACGGCCTTCAACACGGAACCTTCGCTCACACTAGATCAAGGGACAAGGGAGACGAATCGCTCGTCTGACATCCATGTATATTCATTTCAGTGAAAGAGACCTTTTGGACATCGCGAATCTTGTCCGAATAGACTCCAAAAATAACTGCAGAGAAAAGTGTAACCTCTTTTTTATTCTAATATAGAAACAACATTAAGATTTGTTCATCATTTGGATCATCAAATAATATTTTGTGATCATAAGATATAAGTCATTCCCCTGATGGTCTGGTTTTCAAAAGTCTGTTGGTGTTTAGTTTATTTTTTTTTTTCTAATTTTCGGCGTTGAAAAATAGACGTGAGGAGATACGCAGGGGTAACTTATTAACTTCATTAAAGAAACCTGTAGTATGAACCGGATTCATTTTGGTATACGTATATTTATTGATTTATTACATTCTACATGTAGGTCTTCATGTCTCAAGTTGCAGAACGAAGTCAAAATAAAAACTCTTGCAGGATTAATTGAAAGTTTTGGCAAATTAATTTCTACTTTACTTATTACATATTTAAGGCCAAAGATTCCAACTCCCTCAGGCAAAGTTGACCTTTTGTTTATTTGGCTATTAATATTACAAAGTTATGTCCCTTTTGGTCATAAAGCTGTCAATGTGTTTCGGTACTAATACATCCTTGGGTAACGTTGTATAAATAACACATAGCTGAGAGGGTGATAGAGCAGATTGTTACCCCGAGAAAACATTGTCAACTAAGGCAAAGCCAAGGTTGACAATGTCTTTTCGAGGGGTAACAAATTGCTCTATCACCCTCTCAGATATGTGTTATTCAATTTATTATACTGAATGTTCTGTTATTACTGTCTATTAAATTTCAAACTCAAATCTGAGACTACTATAACACTGTTATAGTAGTCTCAGCTCAAAGTAATAAACTATGACGTCTTGTACATAACAACCATCCGTATTTAATAAAGCGCACACTTGATCAAGCGTCTCCGTGAAGGGTAATAGAGTATTTACCATAGGATAGAGTAAGTTGTCTCCCTCGTATTTACCAATCAAAATCTAGCATTTTGACATGAAGTATAATAAATTTATTTATTTGAGCCTTCCTGATGAAGGTTTGAGCCTTCCTGATGAAGGTTAATCCAGGAGAGCGATTCGAACTCATACAATTAATAACGGTTTATTTCATAAGACACAATAATATAATACACCATGTTTTTACTTGAGGCCTGGAGGGCACTAGATGGTATACAAATTGAATATAGTTACTTCGTCTGAAGGATCGATATGACTTTCACACAAGAAACGTCCGTTTTGGTTTTTGATATGTACTAATGCATAGCCAACTCCGGTCGGAATGTGAATATTACATCCAATGCCCCGTTTCGAGTGAGTGCCACGTAAAATTATCCTTGTAACAACTCTTAGATAAGTTCGTTGGTGTGCCGTAACGATGCCAAACTCTGTCCCCATCCAGCATAAGGGACCGGTCAAAATTTCTTGATGCATGGAACCGGTGCAAACTTTAAAGGGACAGGCACTTTTTGCAGTGTTTACAGGAATGAGACTCAATGTTTTTTTTTTTTCATTATTGGCAAGCATGGGACATGCACTTTTTGAAACAATGTCTGTATATGAAAAAATAAATCTATAACAAACAAAAATAACATCAGGAACATCTAGCAATGTGAATTTAACAGTTATAACATAGCAAATTTATGTTCAAGATTTAAAGAACAGTGAAGGCAACAAAAAAAACTTTGAAACAGAACAAACATGAAAAAATACTTTGATATAAAATTAAAAAAAATATGTAAAAATTTGATTAGATATTTTACATGTATAACTGTTCAACAAATGTAAAAAACGAATTCATGGATAGTGTTTCTACACAAAAAAGAATGTGATTGTCAAATACAATTCTGTCCTCCCATAAAGCAGAGTTGTCTCCCATTTACCAGAGTTGTCTTTCCTGACAGAAGGTATTTTTCTATTAAACATCACTTTTATTTTTTTCTAATTAATTAATTGGGCGACCTCATGATCCCATCAGAACAAAAAATCTTATGTCATGTATGTAATTAGTTAATACAAAAATGTTTTTTTTTATCTGAGACCAGGATGATGGATCTGTGTGTTTAATACTAGATCGAGACGTGTCCGGCAGACTACCCAAAAGGTATGACGACTATGCAACCTAAGGTAGTTCAGTGGTCTAAAAAAGAAATAAAAGATTTTTCTCAAATTTTACACAAGAATAGATAAACATGTACACATTCAAAACTTGCAACAAAAATGATAGCTTACTGTAGAAAATATAGGGATATGGAGTAAACAAGAAAGTTCTTTGAAAAGTGTGAATAATATAGTCTTTTTATAGGGAAAATTAGTGAAAATCTCCATCTCATATGCTTTACTTTAGAAGTTTCAATAAAAAGAAATATGGTGTAACCAGCCATACTTTTAAGAAAATTGACAAAATGTGTGATTTCCATGTACTTTCTATACAAATTATCTCCCTTGGACTGAAACAGAAATTTTGAAAATGGCCATGCAATTAAAAGTGCTTCTTCAACCATAATTAAACAAAATGAATGGTTTTAATGTTTCTGTTTGGTTTTGTACATGTAGACTACAATTCCTTAAATAAAACAAAAATCTAACATGCCCAGAAATGATGTTCAGTGATGACCCCCTGAACTACCTTAATTATAAATGTTATTATCATGATTATGCAAATTCAACAGACATTGAAGAATGAAAACATTTTTTTTTTATAATACATACTGGTTGTAGAAAAAGAATGCATATGTTTGTGGAAATTTAACAGATACAGCAGCATACTACCAACAGAAATGATTGGATTATTTTATTCAAAGGTCATAACAAATCTGGAACCCACACCCATAAAGCTCTGAATGGCCCAGATATAAATATATAATCAATCAAGCTGCATATATGTTGAGATAGTAAATTTTACTTTTTCCCCACTTTAACAAAATATGTTTAAAATACAAAACTGTTGTGAGTGGAAGTTGGAGATGTTCACTTCTTTAGTTTTGATGCTATTTTGACATTCCTCGCAGTTTAAATTTGAAGATTTAACTGTCTCAAGATGTTCACTTCCTCTAGTATGACTATTCAAATAATGGGGCTTTTTTATTATTCTAAGCAGAAAAAAAATCATATTTTTGTAAAAAATTTTTTTTTTGGAAAATTTACATACCCACTCTTAATTTAAAATAGTCAGATTCTAAATTATTAAGCTGCAAATTTTTTGGAAAAAAAATGTATTCTACCATACACTTCATACATGTTAATTGTTTAATATTGCAGGTATCATTTATTATAGTCAATACCATATTGTCATCCGTTTGTGCTCCTGTGTTGGCAATAAAATATGCTTATGTATTGTTTTGTTTACTTTATAACAGCATTAAAGGTACAGTTCACACATAGTAGCATTATTTTTCAGCTATCCAAATACATTGTAGCATGAAATGTAGCCACAACTTTGATCATGTTTTTGTGCTTTAACATGGGGCAAGCATATTTTTATTCTACCAGTGACCATGGGATCAAGAGAATTATTTCAGACAATTTTCTTTTTGCACCGGTCCCATACATCAAGAAAGTTGACCGGTCCCTAACCTCGTTTCCAGTGGCAGCCTAAATATCTTGCCCTCAATCAAGGTCGACCCACCAAGGAATTTATATGTTATATATTATTAGTTGTTGATGGGTTCTCATCCTGATATGCATAAAATATTTGTCACTGGAAGTTAAGCAAACAACTATCAAGTATTTTCTATGGTATTTCCATTGTCAAGAAAACTTAGAATAACTTTTACATGAACAATGTCGCACATAGATAATAAATATTCCGTTGTAATGATAGTAGATTTTATTCTACTATTTTAAAAACTTTATTTTCATTGCATTTTTATATCATTTTTAACAATCGGTCATAAAAATGACATAGCCTAAACGTCTCTATGGTTTTTGTTCTAAGAAATGCAAAATATCTTGACTTTTTTTTTACGTAATATCAGCAATGCTTATACTTGGACACCGTAATTGCGTATAGTATGGACGATACAAATAGTCTTGGTTTATTTTCTTCAATATTGGCGATAAAAAAATGACTAATCACGGTATATTTTTCAAAAAATAATTAAAACGGTTATTATTTGAAACCTCTAACGAATCACGATAAAATATTTTGACGTCACTGATGAGTCTTATGTAGACGAAACGCGCGTCTGGGGTATTAAATTATAATCCTGGTACCTTTGATAACTATTGACGAATTACGATTAAAATTTAAACAATTTGACGCTAATGATAAAGGTCATTATTACCATTGTAAATAGAGAGGAGGAAGATATCAAAGGGATATTCAAACTCATAAGTCGAAGACAAAATGACAACATCATTGCAAAGATAAGATTTTAAAAAAATTGTTAAAAATAAAAAAGAATTGTTGATCTGTTGCTGGTATGTATGTCATTTGAAAATTAAAAATAATAAAAGAATATTTTGATGTATGTCCTGAGTTTCAAGGACGCCCATTCGATATTCTGTTGCCGGGGAAGTGGGTAATCTTGTCCAAGACAGAATGGAAATGCCAATGAAGAGAAAGAAGAAAGAAGTGTTATGGTCCATATCTAAGCACCTCGTACAGGATTGACTGACAGTAAGAATGTTTTATATAATCGAAACATATTAATATTTTAACTTTCATTTCCACGTCTATATCAATAAGTATTATGTTGACATACTGTATATACTCTAAACCATATTGTGTCTGAATTAGAATATGTATCGTATTTAAATGTTGACAGATAATATTCTACAGATATAACAGTAAAGAGACGTTGCAACAGAGTATTGGATAAAACATTTTTAAAATGGCGACGATTCTCGCCACAACATGTAGTACTACATGATAAGACTATTTCATTTTTGAAATTATGGCGAGTTTACGGTTACTTTGGTAACTGGTAGTGGTCAGTATATGTCAAAGCGATTTAAAGTTGGTGTTTTATGCCCTTTATTAGAAAACAGAATGGCTGTCAAAGGGCGATGAAGAGTAAGTGAGTTATATTACATGGACATAGTATGGAAAGGGGTTTGGAAATCATATAAAAGGGAACACATTCTGTCAGTCACGGGAAATACATAAATTTATCTCAAACTAATCTTCCTAGATGCAATCTAAATAGTAGCTGAAGTTCTTTTTAGACCTTATTATAAGAATTTCGTATCGTAATTTATTAACAAGAATTTATAATAAACGGGACGAGTCTTTCTTTTGAATATATTACTTTTTCTTTTCTTAAGGTGATGTTCCGTCGACTTTTTCTTATGGACTGTGTATTTGGTTATGTGTTCGATTTGCGTGTGTTTGCATTGACGTCGCAGATTTTCAATGAGTATCAATATGTTGATTACATACATCCTTAACAGCAGCGATATAGATATCAATAAATTGATGAACTTTTATGTTCTATGCATAGCACAAGTTTATTTTTGGCTTTTCTTATTAAGTTTTATGTCATTGTTGTGTGAAATTGACTCTGATGTACATGAATCGATACCAGAATGCAGGACGGCATGATTTAATTTCAGGTTATGAACCTTATTTTGCTTTTAGTAAATGAGAATAGCACTTAGATTTGTTGCGTCCGAGGCGATTTCTAGTTTTGCCTTCATCCGCGTGTCTTTTCTCAGAGTTTTCTCTGAAACGGTAGAATTGGTTTGTTTGTACTTGTGATTTTACTATCTATTGTACCGTTACATGAACATCATGTAAGGAGCGTGACACTATCACAATACATTTTGTTTCATTTAATACACCTTCATCCTACATTCAGAGAAATTGAGTCTAATTTGATACCTCTTGGAAGAAATATACATGTGTAAATAAATTATACTTGGAGAAATAAGCAATTCTTCTGTGGTTTTTTTTTTCTTCTTCATATATCCGATATTTTGTATTTAATATTAAATTAAACAATTTATCAAATAGTTATGTTACCTGGATTATAATTGCTGTGAAACGGTTTCGATACAATCATAGTAAATATTAAAGGGGCATTAGCTGTCAAATTCATGTTCACCGATTTGACTCAAATTCTCATATTTGATTTATAACATACTGAAAGGTAGATCTTAATTCTAAAAAGTCTAAAATAAATAATTTACGATACATGGACTCGATAATATGTGTCCGTATTTCGTGTGTATTTTATGCTGCGTTCACACGTTATTCGAATTCGATTCGCATTAACTAATTCGAATTAGTTTAATTCGCATTCGAAACGTTTTACGTTCAAACGTAAATTCTAATTCGAATTGCAATACGCGTCAAATTCGCTTTACTGTCCAAACGACGTTAACTTTTAATTCGTATTAACACAAACGCAATTCTAATGCGAATTGGATAATGCGATTTAGCCAATTCGAATCAATTCGAATTAAAAAAGAAGAGTGTGTGAACGCGATAAGGGAATTCGATTCGCATTCGATTCGAATTCAATTCGAATTAAATGTACGTGTGAACGAGGCATTAGTCTAGACGCCATCTAATTAACCATTGATGTGAACTCCGAAGACCACTGACGTTCACATTACTGGATATAAACATAAAAAATATAGATATAAATAGATAGCGAACACGTGCAATTAGATTTTTCTAGGTCCGTTTGATTTCATATTATAGGTTAAACAAATATGTTAATCATCGTTTTTAACTGTATAACACTGAGTTTTTGTGGATTAAATCAGTCAACCAAACGGTTTACCCTTGTTTCACTTTCAATGTTGACATTCTTTTCCTTTAAATAGATGAACACGCCTAGTTTATGCGTAACCCATCTCTATCTAAGGGGTTAAATAGAAGGTCACATGAATACGGATTCAATTAGGTCGAATTATTTCACTTGCAAGTGAATAATTCATCAGCGCAGTTTTTTAGCTTATAATGACAAAATTGAACCAAATTGGCTGCTAAAAGCGAATTATTATTTCACTATTTCACTTTCATTAATGATTGAACAAAAAAAAATCATATTTTAATTTTTCTTATACCTCGTAGCTAAAACCCCTTAAATCGGTTGACTGAATCATTACATTTTTGTCTAGATAATTATATACTCTTAGCATTATTCATTATGCATAGCGATGATCAGCAATATATACTTTGATTAGTTATTTCTGTGACAATTTCAACAGCAAATAGTTTTGCTTCCCTTTAGATTTTGTTTTCTATGAAGCTAATCATGAAATCAAGTTTGATTTTAAATCTAGCATTTGTTGTCCTCCGTAAATTTGTAGAATATATATTAAAATTTCAAAAAGGATGACTACCAAATATATCTTTGACTTATTATATGGACATGTGTGTATTGTTAAAGACCGTATATGATGTCTTTTTTAAGTTTGTTTCTCTGGGTTGCAACATGTAGATCATACAGTGAAGTCGTACTATACCTTACGGTATGGTATACCTTTGTGTGAGGAGACATAATTAAAGGAATATAAGTAAGCACATCCCAAACACTGAGGCAACAATATTAGTTTCGAGATGTGTTGTCTTCGTGTTTAAAACTTACCCGTGCCATACAACAAAAATCCGTATTTCAAACTATCCAAACAGATATGAATGACGAATTGTATGGACATTCTTGTGACACCTACATAATATTGCTCTATTTTTAAAAGAAGTTTCCCATTATATTAATGTATTTCCGCGTTTACAATTTAAATTACGGAAAACCTTTGAATATAAAAAAAACTTCCTGGTTGGTATACAACCTCTATTCTAGTCTGACGTGTTAGAATTGATATAACCTTTAATTACAACATATTTATTTTCGAAACAATTATATTTATGTTGATATGAAAACAAGTAGACCTACTTCTATTCATAGTAAGGGGAAATAGTTTACTCTTAAAATCAATCTAAATCGTAAACTTGTTGACTCTTTAGGATCTGTTTGATGTATCGCAGCATCAAATACATTGATTATTTGAAACATTTTATCAATCAATGTTTTGAAGTCATTGAACAACTTATCTTTTAAAATATCAAAATCGACAAAAAATGTTTTATAAGATTTATAGATTAAGATCGATTTAATGTGGTAGAGACGATTGCCTAGTCTTGAAGAATTTATGTTAACCTGCCAGGGAAGGTCACCAAGCCCAATAGTGTAGCAGCTCGTTATTCCTAACCATTGGTCCGATACACCCCTGGCAATGGGTAACATTACATCCCAGTTCCTTTGTTCTACCAGGGGTGATCTGAGCCGGATCACCCCTGCCAGATCACCCTAGTTTGAGTGTCTTTGTTCTGCATGCTTTCCTTTGTTCTGAAACATTTTGGCGAGAATGTCAAATCCACAATAAAACTAAGAAATATTTATACGGAAAAGAATTACTATCAAAATTTGTGTAGAAAATCCAGTCTCTATGCTGGGAATCGGACCCAAGACCTTTAGCATATAGACCCACGAGTCATACCCCTACACCAGGACGACTGGATACAAACTCTCTGTTAATTTAACATTTTTAAACATTGTGTTCCGAGCTCATAAAGGGTATATACTATACAGTAATATATAAAGTATATTAAAATGATTGTGTGGCGTTCTAAACTAGATTTTATGAAGCGTAAAATGAGTTTTTATCTAATCTAGAACAGCTGGGATGTAAAATAGTTATCCCATTCGGACTTGGTGTGTCAGTGTAAGATCACCCTCTGGCCTCCGGCCATCGGGGTGATCTTACACTGACACACTGCGTCCTCATGGGATAACTATTACTGAAAGTTTAAACTTCCATGATTTTCTCTTTTTCCATCGATCTCTGGAATATTAGCTATGGATCCCACTCCTCATATTTAAAAGAAGACATAAGTTTCACTGGTATCCATCTAATAACTTCAAAGAAGTTTAGCTTACAAGACCTTAGACCGCGTAAATAAAATTAATGACTATTTAAGTGAACTTTAATTAATCAATGCTGAATGATGATTATAATGTCATTTGAATATGTATTTAATGCACAATCTCTTTCAATTAATTTTATCAAGCGACGAAGAAGGAGTGAATTTGTACTTATTCAAATTGGTTGAATCTGTTAGATTCATTGGTATAACAATAATTTCAAATGGCTTATTAATTCGGGTGAACCTTAGGGTTTAACTTAGCTTTAAATTGTTTCGCAAATAGGGTAAACAGTTTTCAATTGCATATAGAAGAGAATTATGTAAACTTACTCTTATATGTTTTTGTTGACTTCTATAACATGTATATGTGATTAAAATCTGTTTATTGTTAAATAATGACGAGAAAACCCAAAAAATATAATTTAAATTCTAGCAGATAATTTATATATATATAAGAAAATAGCTAAAACAGTGCCCTATGGCATCACTTATAGCACGAATTCCGACTATAGCATCCACCCTTTAAAGTTTTCGGCAAGTTGAAGACCGGTATAATATAATTTGTTGCATTTGACAACCAGATATTCTAACATAAACAAAAATATATCTTTTTTGCAACTTTCAATAGTTTGTGCTGTTATAAATATAAAAATAAGAAAATGTCGTATGATTGCCTATGAGACAACTATCCACCAGAGACCAAAAAGGCCCCCACATGACCAAATGTAAAACAATTCAAACGAGAAATAACTGATTATGTACAAAACAATAAACAAAATTGTAATACTATTGACACACAATAAACAAAATTGTAATACTATTGACAGCATCCAACTCCAACCACTTAAGAAAACATGCAGTCATGTGAAAAAATAATTCAGATGTGTAGCTTCGACCTTTATTTTAACTATGCTGAAGTTCTCCTAAATAGTTGGAAAAACTTGAAATTGATTAGCGATTTTTTTAATTAATTTAAATAAGCAAAAAACATTAAATAAACCAAAAGATATATTGATAATCTATACTACTAAAGGAAGAGACCGATTTCATTGAGCTGCAAGTAACTCCTCTGAAACCATACAAAGTCGAAAATATTTGTGATATGACGTAAAAAATGTAGTGTTTTGTACTTCCTAAATTTGTCTTTGAAACAATTTTTTTTCCACAGAAAACGCCAATTTTTGAGAAAATATCCAAATTCGGAGACCGTTATCGAACAGTGTTTTATACGCTTTCGCGCATGCTCAGTCGACGTACTGCCCGCGAAATCTATAATACTAAAATAACGAGGTCATGAACTTCCTCATTATACAGGGATTAATACTACTAAATTCAATCTTTGTCACATGAATTTCCGGTTGTAATAAGAAAACCAGGACGGGTTCAAAAAGAAAGATTTTGATAGCAGAGAAAACTATGCACCTTATAATCAGCACGACTTTATCAGATGACAATACGAATACTAAAAATCCAGGCTTAGAATAAGGCGTACATTATGTAAGTACGTAAGTACTTTAATTTAGTCACGGATCCGCGATGCCGAAGGTGTTTTCTAGTATGTGTCCTATTCCCAAGAAATTTTGAATGAGTGTTAATTCGCATAGCAGGCGATGCATGCATATTGGGAGACGCGTACCCTGTCGATGCATCAGGTCTATCTCATTTTTGGAGTTCATGTAATTTCCTCAGTTTTTGTTAATTACCTTCATTTGTCTCTTCTTAATCGATTTCCGATATTTGAACATTGGTAAATACTGTCGCCCTAATTTACTCAATATGTATATCGGATTCTTATTTTTTGGAATATCCTTTTCATAATTCAATGGAGAGAATAATCAAAACATTTTCTTCTTTAATCGAAAGTATATCCCGTTCGATATAAGTCTATAAACAATTGTATTAATGCACTGTTGCTCTTTCTTCACAGATACCGAAATACCATGACGATTTGTGTAACTACAATTATATCTGAAATCATCACGCGTAAAAAGGGTCAAATTTTTTAAATTTTTTTTTTTCATTTTTCATACTTTTTATGTTTTTAAACTTTATTTAAACAAAAAAAGAAAGGAGAAGAGTTCGATAATGCATAAATAAAAGACGGAACAAACAGGAGTTCTTAGGATCGATCAATGAATGTAAATTTAAAATACCAGAAGAATTATTGCCTTGGATTTTTTATGATAACACACAATTTACATGAAATATTTAAGAACAGCTTTTTAATCATATCCTAGTTCAATTTGGAAGAAAAGAAGGTTTCTATTTTCTTAAAATAATCAATATATTACGACAAAAAGTAAAATCATTGTTTTATGTAATACATGTTCTTCTATAAAGTTAAGAAGTTCAAATTTTAAACTTTTCCTCTGACGAAATAAAAGGATAATTACAGAAGGCAAACTTGATCTACAAATCTATCCACACGAACTTGTGGACAGCCCAGCAAGTGTCTTGCACAACAGAATGAAACGCGAGGAAGTTGGAATAAATTTAGTCATGGTCTTCGTAAACCCTTTTTCTGATAGTCAGCTTTAATCTTGCGCTCATCCGTTAATTCAAAACGTGAACTCAATACAACATATAACACATAATATAAAAAGACAATAATTTAATATACAACATTTTGTTATTTTACTATATACATCAAAAAGGTCGTATGACATTACTAAATATTTCGTTTTTTTCGTTTTTTAAATGAGACCTTCCACTCAATATCATGTCGTTTTCAATTGACTTTAAAAGTACCCCCTGTTCTACTATTAAAATGTCCTTTTTGTCCTCGTCTGAAAACGATAGATGTTTTGAATAATAAAAGTTAGGAAACCCCCTTAATAACATCAAAACTCCAACTGGTTCATCCAAATGGGGAGTAACCATGACTCCTAATGCACCTGAAGCTCCGTGTTGTGATGCACAGTGAAACAGACATTTCCGTTGATCATCGATACCCTCATAATGATCTCGATAGTCTTTGGTAATTGTACCAGCTTTTTTGTTGGCTCTATCAACATCATTTTTACAGTAGTGGTATATGTCTATCTTTGGATCGTCCATAAGCGGTTGACTGTTCGGATGTCCTATCAAATATATTGGTCTATCGTCATCTATACTTTCCAAAATGTTAATCGGTGGTGGAAAAGATCTATTACTGTCAGCTTGAAGTTCTAGTATTGCTGTATCTTGTTCTTCATTGTCATACACCATTTTTTTGAAGTAGAATATATGTTCAGGGTTCTGTTTCTGATTGGCCTTCAAGTATTCAAACTCCATGAAGAAACTACTATTCCTTATCTGTGAGTGGTCGATTTTATCAAATACTTCTAAAAAAAATATTGAAGAAAATATAACTCTTCATCAACATGAAGATCTTGAAAGACACGTATTGATAAAATACAAAATGTATATAAACACGTAGGTAACTTATCATATCGAAGTTTGATTATCATTTGATGAAGTGTTTTTGAGATTTGTATTGTCATCGCGATTTTTACATTTTATGCAAAATCCCTTTTCATCTACATTAACGTATATAGATAATGTAAAACATAATCGTTTTACATCCCGTAGGAAAGTTATCTTTTCTTTTCCTACTGAAATATATGAAAGGAGATTAACAACGTAGGATGTTTTAGTTCCGACGGATAATAAGGTATAGCGATTGGGCCTAGGTACTCCGGCTAAAGGCTAGCCCCCCCCCCCCCCCCACGACGGAGGAATTTTCGAGTTGGGGCTGGATGTACCAGACCACACATTTGTCCCGTCGGAATTGTGGAGTTAACTATGGAGTCCTAAGTCCAAAGAGCGTCAAGCTCTCTATACTTGAAACTGGTGACCTTCAACGAAACCACATTTGTGCGCTATCCGACATTCCTTCTTTTTTAAGTGGCAATCGAAATTCCCATCCTCCATTTTAGCCGACCTTCTCGGTCTTTGCAGTGGATGCTAACACGATGTATTGTTAAATTTGTGCCTTTCCAGAACGTCAAACAAGCGACATTCTTTTTGTTTATTACGGTAAGGTTTGTCGTCGTATGGAATTTACCTCATTTAAATCCATGGAATACAAACTTTCTCCATTCGAGATGGTTCAGTTTTAGTTAAATTCATTTCGTAAAATTGACAAACTAATTAGATTGGAGAAGCGTATTCATATCTTGAGATTTGATTTTCCTGAACAAAAAAGGACCAAAAAATGGCACATGGGTGAATAATAGTTCCCGAGTAAAAATATATTTTGTTTTATTGTAATCTTTAACTTACTGATGTTATTGATAACAACGTGTCGAGCGGTCATGACATAATTCTCTCCAACTCTAAATCCGGTTCCACCTCCACCTGGACCCCTTATCATACCGACAGAACGTGACGCTTTTGATACTATTCTTCTGTTCCTGATGAAATCCTTGTCATCAATACTTTTCAAAAAATTGGCCGTTGGTTTAGAGGTGGCTGTAATGATAAACATTGTAAATTCAAAATATATTCTTTTACTTTCTTAAAATTCTCTATTGATGAATTTCAAAACTATTTAGAAACTAGGGTTCAAACTCCCTCATTTGATCATGGGTGGATTTGACATTTATTTTTCGGTTCCTTTATGTCGTTTAGCTTTTCTCGTGTTCAGGTACTTTTACATCCTTGGCTTTCAAGCGTTTCTGATTAAGGTAAATACAGAAAAGCGCTACGGACGAATGAAAAGAGTTTTATTCATATACTGAGAAAGATATCAAACTATGTCGAAAAAAGTTTGGCAACTGTAGTTTACCGATGTGTAAATCTCATAAATTGATAAAAAAGATACAAAACTAGGTATCAAACAAAAACATAGAGGAAATCACACCCCAAAGGAGCGAGCCTGGTTGTGTCAATAGGGTAAACTGCTCTTGACATGTAAGCATCACCCGCGATGATAATAAACGCTCAGTCAAAATGTCACAATCGAGAATATGACACAATCAGCAAAATATCAGATCAAACGACTGTATTACTTTATCGAGAAAATATTTACTTATCCATAATGGGATTACTGTGTTTCTGGTACATTGAACTTAGACCTCTATTAAGCCATTCGGGTATTTATTGTACCTACACACCGTAAATTTCCTTTGCCGGTACTTAAACGTCGAAAGTAAACCATTCTAGCATCAATGAAAGGTCATACTGGGAAAGAGGCCTCCCATTTTACTTACAGACTATTTTTAAATGCGGATGATACCTTTTATGAAAGATAACCAACTTTAAAGAAGAAAAAAATGACTGTTAATTGATTTCCTTAACTCCAACAAAGTATAATCATGTTATTAACAGAAAAATCATCTCCTGCTATACACTAGTCATCTATCATGCAACATAGTAATTTGCATGGTATGAAGAATTACCCTATGGCAGCCAAAAAACATTTTGTGTTCAGATGCAGTTAATTATTATTAATTTGATATATCTGAGCCTTGTAGCCTTGAAAACATTATTTTATTTTCATAAATTATAATGAACTTACGATTCAATCGTGGTTTTGAATCAACTGATGAACCGTTATGTGTGCTAGTAGGTGGTACTTTTTCAATTCGGTTTCTTTTCCCTTTGATCATGTTTTGGGTACAAATAGTTATTGCACTTCCTACAAAACAAAACATGATCAATGAAGTGTTTATTTTTTTAGGGTTAACATGGGGGAGGAAATACAAAAACCAAGTGATATACATTTTTCCAGAAGATACGAATGTAACTATATTTCGTTTCGTTACATTATATTCAGATTAAATTTAAATATGTGTTCTTATTTTTGTTTGCTTAGTGAAAATGATATTAAGCCCCACCTTTTTTTTTTCTTTTTACCTCCTTACATATCAAGAGGTCACTGCTTTATACTTAATTAGGAAGTTAGTTCAATTAAAAAGATATTTTATGAAACATGGATAAAATATGAGCTGAAACATACGTCTACGAGATAGCAGGTGAATTATGGTTTGTGGATGGGAGAGAACAAAATTATCTAGATATATCTCGTTTTCGAGAGACCTCTTATCTTGTAATTCATTCATTTCAAACTTTGATTTTTAACCCTAGAAAGATTTGGTGCATTTCTGAAAAGATTCTCATAATTCGATGTTTAGAATAGCAAATGTATTAAAGATAAGGCTCCTACAAACAAACATGTTATCCATGAAAAAAGAAACGTTCTTGTAAAAACATAAATGGTCGATTCTTTTTATACCGTCGTCACATATGATTGATATATATATATAAAATACTTTTAAATATTTCCTTTTATTATCGCAAATAAAAATATAATGTACCTTTCGTGTCCGAAGAACAATATGGTTGTGGAATTGGATCCCGTGGAGATGTATGATCAATAATGACATTATCATCGCCATGTATAAAGTCTCTTACAGTGATATCCAATCTCTTGGGTCCTGAAGATATACATACAAAAACAGAAAATACAAAAAGACGCATAACTATTGAAGAAAACATCATTTTTATTTTACATCACCAATACAGATTCTCTGAATTCCTGAATTTTTCATGGTGTACTTAGTTTGAATGCAAGTTTAATCATTTGAAATTCAAGCATCAAAAACGTTTTTATTTATTTGCATTCCTATAGAAGTGGACTTCGGTCATATTGACTTAATATAAAGATAGTCTTTGCTGATACTTTTTGCTATTATCTACTCTAGTATTTTTACAAAAAGTGCAAAAAAAATGTAAGAATTGCCTTTGAAGAAGTTTAGGCAATAATTAATATAAGGAGTCGACTGACGATTCGGCTACATTGACTTGTAGATCTTGTATAGCTGATCATTTTTGCAATTAAAGTTTATCTCCATCTACTATAATTTTAAAGAATAATATAGCTAAAAATAAAATGCAAAAAAGCACCGGCTGTTCACTTGTCATGAGCAGCAAGACGGTCGCTATCAGTGCAAAAGAAGCAGCGTTTTCTTTTGAGGCACATGCATTTCTATCCGGCTTTTGGTTTGTATTGCTGATTCGTATGTTTCTTTATACTGATTTCCCGAAAAATCGAACCTTGGGTTAACAATTTTCATGATTGATTCGGTACCGTCTAACTGTACATAAAAATAATTTGATTTTGTCACCTTCGCATTTGTGTCCAAAAATTAGATCTTATGATACGTACCTCTGGATTTGCTGAATAAGCCTCCCATGATTACTTTTATTTCTATCTTGGCTTCTTTTATTCAGTATTTCAATTCTATAGAAATATAAAATAACATATATATTAGTCTTATTATTGTGTTCATTTTTCCAAATTCAACATATATTTAGTTGCTTTTTTGTTTTACTAATCATTGTAATAGTTCCTCGTGATAAGTTCAGTTTTCTTGCACCTTGCAACAAACACTAGCATCTACATACAACTAAAATGCCAGCCAGCAGTTTCTAAACGAGTGTTGGGTTGTCAAGCTAATTGTCTGTCCGCTTATCGTATAAATCATCCTGTTTTTTGTTTGAGATATTTTCTACAGGACGACAAGCAAACGACAATAATTTCATTCTGATAAAGGGACAAAGGAACAAAAAGAAAAATAAGATCCTTATAAAAATTAGGCCGAATGTACTAAGGGGACATTCAAAATTCATAAATCGAGAGAACCTGACATGACGAAAAAAAGAAAAGCAAAGGAATAAGAATAATTACTTCCGCATTAATTCAAAGTGGGTATTTTTGTTTTCGTATTTGTTCTTGTAACGGTAAAATTCCTTAAAAAAATATGGTAAGACAAATACTAAGATTGAATAAATTGAAATAAACTTAAATGTTACTTACATTGTTAGTAATAGGTAAAAAAAACCGATTGAAAAATACCTGACATTCTTTCACCCAATTTCAAGTTTCCTTTAAATAGATATTTAGAAATACCCGTATATTATCGACTAAATTTAAAATGTCCCAATTTTCTGAAAATAATATCAAACATCGATCGTTACATATAAAGAATTCATGTTAATTCCATAATATATTTTGTCCTTTTATTGTTGTTGTTTTTATCTCCCAATTAACACATGAGCGTAGTACATTTTTACCATATTTCATTTATGGTAACACTTTTACTAGAATTGATACTTTAGGACCATATGATTGAGAGTGATTAACAAATGTAAAACGAATGAAAGCCTTGTGAGTGTTTATCAAGTATATGCTTTTCGGACCTTAATCTTTGAAATCTTCATAAGAATGTGCGAAATATTTGCTACTGTACGAAAAGCAAACGGTAATCAGTTTATTGTTAGGTGGGAAAAGTACTTCAAGGTCTAGTTTTATTTTTTATAAATAAACCCTGCAGTTCTATTTCGACTTAACAATACTATCTCGATATTAAATAAAATATGTCACCATTATCTGAATATTTCAGTTATTCTAAGTTAACTTTAAGTAATTCGTTACGTATACTTACAAGGTTGACGACAGAAAAATAAATGACTAATCAACATTTATTCTATTTTAAATTTTAGTATTGGAAATACCCTTTTTTGGTTTAAGTCTAAGTGTCATAATTTTGTATTTATAGTTCAAATAAATACCATTCTTTAAATATAACTTATATTGTATTAATCTATTTAAAGATTTTTTTCAGTTATTTTTATGATACACATGGAATATAACTTTAGGGTTATTTGGTGGGGACTGAAACTATATCAATTAATGTTCCTTCAGATTTTTGTGTTTGTACTTGTTTGGATAAAATAACATAAAAGAGGGACGAAAGATACCAGAGGGACAGTCAAACTCATAGATTGAAAACAAACTGACAACGCCATGGCCAAAAATAAAAAGACAAACAGACAAATAAAAGTACAGATGACACAACATAGAAAACTAAAGACTAAAGACTAAGCAACACGAACCCCACCAAAAACTGGGGGTGATCTCAGGTGCTCCGGAAGGGTAAGCAGATCCTGCTCCACATGTGGCACCCGTCGTGTTGCTTATGTTATTACAAATCCGGTAAATAGTCTAATTCGGTAAGTCACATTCGTGAAAATTCGTAAATTATAGTTACGACATCAGGAACAAATCCGATATCATCTGTGAAACGGTTATTCCATAACGGTCAACCAACTCGTGATGGCGTCCGTAAAATTTACGAAGGGATGATTTCAACTTCACCATTTGGAAATCTTGGTTTAATAGCTTCCTTGTGAGCAGCAATCATCTATCAAGGAAATCATGATAGGAAACACAAGCCCGGGAATATCGTATCAATTGGGAGATATATACTCCGTATGCAGGCGATGCTGGAATGTTGCTACATAGAAATGGAAAGTTCGCAACTGGGAAGCTGAAATCATCTCTTTTGTCGTTAAGTTTTGTTTTCAACCGAGACAAGATACTTGTATCTACGTTCGCCATTCTTTTTAATGAAACAAAGTAATACTAGTACCAACTCTTTCAATTTGTCTTTTAGTTTGGAATGGGGAATACTTGTGTAAAGTGTAGAAAAGTCAAATGTTTTAATACTATTGCAAGATGAGAGAGTCTTAGAATGTATGTACTCTAAAAGATCTTTGGAATTTTTTAGTATCCACATCTGATTCACGCCACCTCTAGAATAGGCAGTTTCACAATAACTTTGGAGCCCGTCTTTGATTGCTGATAAAATAGATGTTAATAATTTAGAAAGAGGTTTCGTGGAGCACTTGGAAGACCCAGCAATATACCGTTGTTTGTAAGGACACTTATGTAGTTTAGGTATCCAATACAGTGATGGAAGATCCAGTTCTTCATCTTTGGTTGAAATTCCAAAGGAACATAGAACAGACCTATGATTATCCAGGATTTCTTCTTTGGTAAGTGTCGTGAGGGTATATGTTGAGTTTCCAAATGAATTGTCAATACCTAATTCATTTATCAAGCAGTTTATGTAATGATATTTACACACAAAAACGATGTTGTTTGGGGCTTTATCTGCGGGGACAACAACATATTTGTCATGGAGGTAGGTCAAGTGTTTTGCAACATTTGGGTCTTTAAAAATTGATGTAGCGTGGGTATTGATATGCCCGTTTAGTTTCTTAATAATAGTGACAGTGCTAATTTTTCATTCATCACTGGTATCAAACTATAGCAACTTTCCTATTATTATTTAATTTAATGCATCATTCAGACATTTTCTCTGTTTTCTTTCATTCCTTTTATTTTCACTAGAAAACGGTTTAACTACACTATGTGCTGATTATATAGATAAAAGAAGATGTGGTATGAGTGCCAATGAGACAACTCTCCATCCAAGTCAAAATTTATAAAAGTAAACCATTATAGGTCAAAGTACGGTCTTCAACACGAAGCCTTGGCTCACACCGAACAGCAAGCTATAAAGGGCCCCGAAAATATCTAGTGTAAAACCAGTCAAACGGGAAAACCAACGGTCTAATCTATATAAAAAACGAGAAACGAGAAACACTTATGAACCACATCAACAAACGACAACTACTGAACATCAGATTACATGCTTTTACATCAGTACTTTATCCTTTCGTCATTGTCTATTGTCTAAATACTTCAAAATTCACTTTCTTATTTTCATCCTTTTATTCGCTTTTGTATTTTTTTTGTTACTAGTTCATTATGTACAATAAAATGTATTAGGTTTTCTAGATAAGGTCTGGAGTTAATTTAGTTAGGAATTCGACGAGCTTATGTTCGGATGCCGAATGTGTGCACGAAACTTTGCACAGTGCTAATTATAACACTAACAATTATTTTTGGATATGGATTCATCTAATAAAAAATCCATAATGGCCGCAAAGTTCAAAATGGCCGACAATAGTCAAGAGGCTTAGTCTAATATATTGGTATAATAGATCATATTTTTTTATTAAAAGCATGAAACTTTGCAGTGTTAGTTATAATGCTTATAAACATTTTTGAATATGGAGCCATCTTAAAAATGTCCGACAATAGTCAAGAGGCTAAGTCCAATATGTTGTTTTAATTTACCACTTTAATAAAAGCATGAAACTTTGCACAGTTTTAAGTTATGATGCTAATGAACATTTTTGAACATAAAGCCATCTAAAAAAAAAATCCAAAATTGCCCCCAAATTCAATATGGCCGCCAACATTTAAGGCGCAAAGTCCTAAATATTGGTGTAACAAACCACTTTATAGTAAAAGCATGAAACTTTGCACAGTGTAAGTTATAGTGTTAATGAACATTTTTGAAACAATCTTTAGAAATCCATAAGAAGCTAATGTACCCCAGTCATTGCTTTCCTTGATCGGTAAAATTCAGTCTGGACCCAACATTCAGGATCGTTCATATTTCAGTCGAAACTTCTAATGTATAGTTGTACTAAGAAACAATCCAATCGTCACATTAAATAACATAAACCCCCAGTTTGTGTTCATTTGGGAATCATGATCTAATGTAAGACTAGAAAACGTGATCTAGTTAGACACTTTCTTCAAACTTGGACTATCTTATCTGTTTCCTACAACAGAATTTTACAAATTTCTACTTCTAGGGCCAAGGATGCTTGTCGTCGTTATATCCAGGAAGGTATTGTTTGCCCTACCCATCTACTGCAAAATGCGTTCACTTCGTCTTCTGTAGACAACAGACCACAATCCAAGCAGTTTATATAATCAAATGATTCATTTCATGGTACCGGTAAAGGAGTTTTGCAAATATTTGACCAATCTACAGCTATTTTAAAATGTCAATCAAAGACAGTCCTTTTGACAGTTCTAATTTGGTAATATCTTCTCAAATAAAAATGTCCTGTCCTGTGTTTTATTTTTTCAGAGTGTTCTTTAAAAATAAACAGTAGCCATAACATAAAATACAATTGAGAATGTGTCCCTCTTTTTTTCTGCCAGTTGGAAAAGGGGTCAAACAAAAAAAAATACTCCTGTGGTACAACATGAATAAAAAGAGCAATGTATGTACCACCCAGCTAGACAAATTGCTATTCTAATTGAAATTTGCATTTAAAGTTTAATATAACTATATAACAATGTTCTAAGTTATAAAATGATATAATAAGAGACCCAATAAAACATGAGAACTCACACGATAATTCGACTAAAAGTTATCCTTCTGTCGAAAATAATGCTGTAATGGAATTCCTAATTGTGTGAGAAATACCATATTGTAACAATTTGAGGGCGAGATTTGACACCAACATAATTTTTATTGAAAAAATGATTTATCATAGGTACTTGCAACAAATGTGCCAAATTTTTACTTTAACATGTTAAATTATAGTCCAGCGGCTAAGTCCAATATTTTGGCACATTTGATCACTTTATGGTAAAAGTGTGAACCTTTGTACAGCGTTAGACATGATGCTTATAAACATTTTTGGATATGGAGCCATCTAAACAAAAATCCATAATGGCCGCCAAATTCAAAATGGCCGCCAATAGACAAGAGGCTAAGTCCTATATATTGGTATGATTGATCACTTTATAGTAAAAGCACGAAACTTTGCACAGTGCTAGTTATAGCACTAACAATTATTTTTGGATATGGAATCATCTAATAAAAAATCCATAATGGCCGCAAAGTTCAAAATGGCCGACAATAGTCAAGAGGCTTAGTCTAATATATTGGTATAATAGATCATTTTTTATTAAAAGCATGAAACTTTGCAGTGTTAGTTATAATGCTTATTAACATTTTTTAATGTGGAGCCATCTTAAAAATGGCCGACAATAGTCAAGAGGCTAAGTCCAATATATTGCTTTAATTTACCACTTTAATAAAAGCATGAAACTTTGCACTGTTTTAAGTTATGATGCTAATGAATATTTTTGAACATAAAGCCATCTAAAAAAAAATCCAAAATGGCCGCCAAATTCAATATGGCCGCCAACAGTCAAGGCGCGAGGTCCTAAATATTGGTGTAATAAACCACTTTATAGTAAAAGCATGAAACTTTGCACAGTGTTAGTTATAGTGTTAATGAACATTTTTGAAACAATCTTTAAAAATCCATAAGAAGCTAATGTACCCCAGTCATTGCTTTCCTTGAGCGGTAAAATTCAGTCTGGACCCAACATTCAGGATCGTTCATATTTTCAGTCGAAACTTCTAATGCATAGTTGTACTAAGAAACAATCCAATCGTCACATTAAATAACATAAACCCCACAGTTTGTGTTCATTTGGGAATCATGATCCACTGTAAGACTATAAAACGTGATCTAGTTAGACACTTTCTTCAAACTTGGACTATCTTATCTGTTTCCTACAACAGACTTTTATAAATTTCTACTTCTAGAGCCAAGGATGCTTTTCGTCGTTATATCCAGGAAGGTATTGTTTGCCCTACCCATCTACTGCAAAATGCGTTTACTTCGTCTTCTGTAGACAACAGACCACAATCCAAGCAGTTTATAATCAAATGATTCATTTCATGGTACCGGTAAAGGAGTTTTGCAAATATTTGACCAATCTACAGCTATTTTAAAATGTCAGTCAAAGACAGTCCTTTTTTA